GGAAGGACTGGGGAAGAGGGAAGGAAGAAGAAGCCATAGGAAGCCAGACTGTTGGATGCAATGTGGGTTGTTCCATAAATAATCCAAACTGCATGGCCTATTCACAAAGTGATTGAGTACATCTTATGAATGCAGCCAATAGGAATGATAAATTCTTGCAGTTAATCTGTAAATACCTTTTTGTATTCTGCACACAGAAGATATATTCCTCAGGGCCACGTATGCCAATAGATGGATATTACTATTGGTATTGGTATCGGTAGTATTAGTATTAGTAGAGCAGTAGTGGTGATGATGAGGATGATGATAGTAATGGTGCTAAATAAATACAGTTTTTAGTGAACTATGTCAAAGCTGTAGATTATAAGCCCCAGCATCATAACCTCTAATGCACCTGAACTTTTATGGGTACTGCTTTTTGTTATGGGTTGCATTTAATCATATCTGATCACAGGCAGAATGACATTTGCCTATGAAACAGATTCCCGCTTTCCCGCTGGACCCTCTGCGTTCCCCCTGAAATCTCTTTGCAGGGGTTGTGAGAGGGTTTTTCTACTCATTTCTCTTTGTATTATGTGGGATACTTGTAGCTCGGTTATTTTGCACAGGTAGAGCTTCTCCCCCCGCACCTTTGTGTGTGTGTATGCAGGGAATCCTTGCCGTCCACTATCCCAGGGTTACAGATCATTGAACCTGCTTGTACATTTGTGGAGCTCCTCTTCCATGAATCCTAACTTCCTGCTGGAAAGTAGGGCACCTTTTTTCCATGCAATACATTGTATCTGTTCTGGGGAAGGCGGGATATCCATAGCAATATTGGGATCATAGATGGTTGGCAAAGGCACCTATGTCAGTGTTCAACCAGTACTGGATCAGTATTAACAACTGGGTTTAGTATTCCCACACTGTCCTAACACCCCTCCCCATTTTTAGAGCTTTTGTTTTATTTATGTGGCTTTTGTATGTTATTTGAAGTTACTACGGCAACCTATCACCATCTGGTGTTGTAAAGTATGATGAGATTTTGGTTGCTAGGTACTGAAGTTTGCCGTCTCTTTTTGTAGAAGCCTATGGCGTCCCTCCTTCCCACTGCCAAATCCCTTAGAATTGCTTGTCAAACTCCTAGAAATTATGGCATATACATTCAGTCTCCTTTTGTATAATTTTCCAAGCTGCATACACTTTCATCATGTAAGTTGCCACTGTCTAAATTATCTTAAATTATAAACAATATCATTTTTCTGTTGCTGACACTTCACAGTATATGAATTAAGGCCAGCCAGTTTTTCCTACCATTTTTCAGAGTTTAATGAATAATCTCAGAACAATTCCTTTGCTATCTGTGGGTTTTGACCATTTGCTAAAAGAGTAGCTCATTTTTCTTTGATGTCCTTTTCATCTTTTATAGCATCCTACCAGATAGAAACTGAGCAACATCTACCTTGCCATTTCCTCTACCCCACTGTATTTCATCTATCAGATATGCTCAGCTAATTTAGTTAATAGGCATTGTTCTGCTAGAGTTTATGGTCTCAGTCATATGGCAAGACATGGCTGTGCGTGCATGCATTAAATTTATGTCTATGATCAATTGCATATATTGGTAATAGCATCATATTTCCCAAACTGGCTTCTTCCTTTTAATATTTGGTTAAGTACTCCCTCATCAGTCAAGTGTTTGCTGTGATTACACATATTTTTACACATCTTTGACCTAGTTTCAATCATGCATATCAATGCAGTGATTCATTAGACACATTTTTAACAAGGCAAAGCATAGCTGAAATGACATGTCAAGATTCCGCTCGAACAACTTCATCTCCTTTGCTCCAAGTGATTTATCTGTTTTGCCTCTTTGTATCAAAAACCTCCTTGCTGTGGCTAAAGTGGAAGGGGTTTGGGGCTTCCTTTTCATTTTAAATACCTGAAGCACAATCTGCATCCCGGCTGATCAGTGGCTTTGAGTGCCAAAAGTGCCTTCATCCTGGGTTACAAACATTAAAGAGAAGCAGAAAAGGTGCTGTGGTGGAGGTGTTTGCTGTCATGTAGACATCCGATTATCTTGGCTTGCGTCTAATATTCCTGTACCTGGTAGACTCACTTTCTTGCTTTTCCTAGTTCGCTGCTTGATGTGTACAGCCCTGAAGTATCCTTAAGTTTCAGTATTTTGAAAAAAAAATAGCAGTGATTCTGGGCAAGTTGGAAATAAGTCATACTATCCTGAAATCTGCTCATGTTGTTGCTTGCTTGGGTGAGTTGAGGGCACTGGGTGTGAATTCGAGACTGTAAAGCAGATTGTAGTATTAATTGTTAATTGTAGTATCAGGACGCTCTCAAAGTAGGAAAAAGGGGTCAGTTGATTATAAAGTTCAGTTGCCGTGGAGCCTTGGCATGCAGAAGTAAGACTTTTCAGCACAAACCTACTACTAATTGGTCTCATGACAAACACCCATTAATCAGTGACTCAAAACTGAGTAGCAGAACCATAATTTTAGTCACTGGCAGCAGAACTGTTTTCATGAAACAAAGCATATCATCTGTTAGTTCACACTGTTCCTGTTTGCATTTGGTGAGTCTGTGCTCCCATGCAGGGCTACAATGCCCATAGAGTGCTGCAGTCCACAGCTAGCTGGATTTTAGGAGCTTTCTTACAGAGCTGAACAATTCTAAATTAGTTTTGATTCCGTTTAAGGTACATCTACCATAGTCTCTTAAAGATGCTTCTTACACTGTGAGGGATCACTAAAAATCATCTTGGAAAGGAGAAGGGCAGGAACATTCTGCAATCTTTCCAATATCAGTAAAGCCATCCAAATTAAAAAGCATTCTTACCCATATGAAGGTTTCCCCATTTCTGCTAGCAATGATTCCCCCTGTCTCTACTGGCAATAAAACCAGGACATCTGAATAACAACGCTGGTCTCAAAACAATTGCAATTTTCAGCTTGCTGTTTTGGGCAGGCAGCTGACATTCTCTCTATACACATGCTCTTCAGAACATTTGCCTCCTAAAAGTAAACTACTATAGTAAGAAAAGCAAAACATAAGTCTTTCCAATAGAGAAGAGCATCAGTAACAAAAGCCACAGAAATCCTTACCTGAAAGATCTGGGATTACCTGCTGAAAATATTTCCTTTTAGACTCCCACAGATAGCCAAAGCATTGAGTAGCACAAATGTTACTCCAAAAGCAGAAATAAGTTATCGTTTATCTTCCAATTTTCACTGTTTATATGCCAGAAGTGTACTGGGTCTGCTCACGTAGGAATAAATAAAAAAAAGCAGCGCCAACTGAATAGAGGCTACCATATGAAAGTAAAAAAGACCTCTAGTGGCTGTAACCTGAAGTTAAAGAGGCTTCTTTTCTTGCTTTAAGTGGTAGACAAAATGGTTGGGTATGTCAAACTGCAGATAGTTTACACTGTGATGCGTGACCTTGCTGTATTTGTCATCATAAACTACTCACAATGTGAAATCAGATTTCTAAGGCTCGTTGTGTATATGAAATGAACATCTGCCTGGCAATATTGAAGGATCATGGGAGGAACCTGTGCACTGATCTAATAAGTTTGACACGAAGCTGATCTGATTGGATGGATAGATTTTTCTCATGGGTTAATTACCTCCAACAATTATCAGCAAGCTTATTCTATCTACATAGTTACCTACCTATCTATGATTGTGTGTGTGTGTGTGTGTGTGTGTGTGTGTGTGTGTGTGTG